AAGAAATAGAAATTTGAGAATTTCATCTCAGAATCAAAAATAAGAATTGCACTTGTTGAGGGTTATAAAATTGTGGACACCTTGATCGGTGGTTGAGAAAGAAAGCGGAGATTGATTTAGTTCTTAATGTTTGCTTAAAGGAAACCAAGCTCTCTTACTTTGTTTATCTTATCCTTTTATTTGGAGCCCACTAACCAAGCCTAACGTTACAAGCTTGTAAAGACCTTTTGATCCTTAGTGGTGTCTAGTCCGCATTAGTGGAGAGTAGTTCGATACTTAGGCTTATGGAGTCTAACACCATTTGATAAACTTTACATTTCTGCATAAAATAATCCGGGAAGTTGGAAGGTTGACTGAAGTGGGGATTACCTACTCAGGAGGCCGATAGAGAAAAATAGTCAATCAACTTATAACTTCTTAGAGTGTTAAGCTTTTTCCAGTAATAATGTTTCAACAATTTTTTAGACTTGTATAAATTCTAGGCAATTCTTTGTGTTTCATTTTGATTCTAATTTCTCTCATTTCGTTTTTAATTTTGTTGTCTTTTTCTGTTTGTTAGATGTTTTCTTTTGGTCATATTTTGTACCTGATGCTGGGGGACGAGCATGTCTTAAGTTTGGTGGTATTTGATAATCCTAAGATTATACTGTTTTATCTAGGCTTTTTGGCTTGATTTTGGATACTTCTTATTTCGTTTGTGCCTGAATTCCAACTTAATTGCATATATTTTATATTTCAGGCCAAAACGTGCAGTTAGAGCAAATACTGAGTGGAATTGAGTTTTTGGACCCAGAAGCAAGCGAATCTCAGGATTCGGGGAAGTTCTGAAGCGGATTTGAAGCACTATGAAGCTTGTTCCTATTGGAGAGCACCAAAGATTGAAGATTCAAGCAAGGAAGCAAGCGGAGGGCAGTTCCATAATTTTAGAATTGTTTAGAAAAATTCGCCGTGGTGATAAACTCTCGGGACAGATTAAGAATTTTAAACCAACTCGTTGTCGCGGTGAAGTCTGCAAGTTTCAGTTTTTTTCAAAACTGTGCGTTTTATTTTAGGCGAAAGTTTTAGGTTTTTTTTGGACCGATTATATAAGCAAGACTTAGTCATTTTAATAGGGAGTTCGACATTTTTGGGAGAAAAGAAGAGAAGATTAGAGATTGAACTCTTTGGATTCATCAAATAGGTAAGATTTTGTTCTCTTTTCTTTATTCCAACATGTTGAATGCATTGTTTACTGTTTTTATTTCTATTTGTGTTAATTTTAGCATGAACTAACTCACTTTTGGGTTAAGGTTTTGATGTAATTGGGATTTTTATGTTTAATCAATAAATTGATGTTGCTTTTACATTCTATTACATGGATTGTTTGATTGCTCTTGTTTTTATTGAATTTACTTGTTGAGCATGATGAGACTGAGAAGTGAATCATGTATTAGCTTCTTAGGGTAATTGCCATTGTTGTATTAAATGCTAGAGATAGGTTTGAGAATCAATGAAATCAATTTAGGATTCCATTTAGCTTAACGACTTTGGAACTATTAACCTTCAAATTGTTGGGTGTGGAAGCTTAATAGGGATAAGTAGGAAAACATAGCCTGAGAAGGTATGTTTTACACATTAGGGAGTCCTATTTATAGTTCGTGCATGTGAGTGTAGAAGTAGCATAATTCGTACATTAATTCATAAAATCCTAGTGAAGTTAAAACTCTAACCGTTTGTTTTAATTGATATTTCTATTGAATTAACCTTGCTGTTATTAATTAGTTTTTAAAGTATGTAGTAAATTTTGTTTTCACTTTAGCTTAAATTTCTCCCGCAAATCCAAACATCTTTTGGTTTCTCCAACTTGATAAACAACTAGGAAAATCAGTGCTTAACAAGCAATCCTCGTGAGAACGATACTCTACTTATCACTTTATTACTTTTTGCAACTAGTACACTTACTACACATTGCATGTTGTAATTTCAATACATCACAACACAAATTATAGATTTCGTCAACCGAAAGAATCCACATAAAGTTGTCAACTATGATGATTAGACGGTTTGTGAACTTTTTTATTCATTTCTTAAAGTTTTTTAGGAATCCACCAATACATTAAGTGGTATTTATCATCCTACAACTAATTTAGCATTAGATATTTTACTTCAAATTTCTAAAACTTTTGCTAAATATAGATATGATGATGTCTTAATGGAAATTGTTTTAGAGATGGAAAAAAAATAAGAGAAATATTGGTTAGATATTTTATTCTTATATGGATTAGGCCTTGTTGTAGATCCTAGATTTAAATTACATATAGTTAATTGTATGGTTACTAAGATAGGCCAGCATTTAGGACATGATTATACGTATTATTTGATTAACTTTAAGCAAAAATTGGAAAGCCTTTTTTCTTTATATCAAAGCAGGTACAATGGAACTGGAACGTCCAGCAGAGACGACCAACAGGACCCTGATGAAGACAACTATCAAGAATCGAGCATGTGGACATATATGGAACATGGCAGCGGAAGTAGCCGCTCAAATACGTACATACATGGACCAAATAAGCTGAATCGCTACCTACAAATGGACATGTCCTACATGATGAAGAAAGAGAAACGTGAGATGGATGTGCTTCAATGATGGAAACAATATCAAAGTCGATTCCCCATTGTAGCCAAAATGGGACGTGATATTTTATCTGTGCCGGTTTCTACAATTGCATCCGAGTCAGCATTCTCAACGAGTGGCCGGATTATTGAAGACAGAAGATGTTTTTTAACCAATGAGATGATTGAAATCATAACGTGTTTATGGGATTGGACTCATGCTGAGAGAAGACTACAACAGCACCCTGAAGATCCTGAACTACTCGAACTCTTCAGGAACATAGATTTGACAATGTAAATATTGTTGACGATGAATAATTTAATAAAAATAAATTTAGTTAATTGTTTATTTGTGAAGTGTGAATGTATGATTATGTGAATATTCATTTATGTTAATTATAATTAACCACTAATTTATTTATTATTTTTTTATTTTTTTAAATTAATTAAAAATGTACTAATCTCTCGAGGTGGAAATAAATTTTCCAAGCTTCTAAAAATTACATAAACCCCCTACATAATTTTTTTTGGCCCCCTAAATATAAAAAAAAAAATTGGGGGGTAAAAAATAATTTTTCATTCCTATAGGATCGGTCCTATGGGCCTAGAACCAATCCTAGGGACCGATTCGAGTCCTGAAAATTCTCATGGGCCTAGGCCCATGAGCGACTGGTCTTAATCGGGCCCAGACCCGCGCCTGGTTGAGACCTGTCTCTACCCAGGTCTATACACGATATATAATAAAATGTTTTTTATTGATTAATGAACATTATTACAAGAAGTCAATTCTACAATAATTGATTGGCTATAGGACATTTACTCTAACAAAAAGGATTTTCATGTCAGATTACTGACAAAGCAAATCGTAAGGTCCTACACTTTACAATGATCAGAGCATTTTATACAAAATGGATTCTTGTAATCATCCGTTAACATTTACCGTTCAAATCATACAAGCAAACGGAGAGAAGGAAATATGGACAAATTAATCATAATAGACAATTCAAGAGCCTTGCTTAGTAGATACTTTGACAGTTGTTTTATTGGAAAATCCCAAAATAAGGGGGGAAAATCATATTGTAAACCTCAATTTCAATCACCCCTAATAACACCACATGAATTCACACATAATAAGAGGACAGACTCGAGCACAGTTTATCCAAATTAACCTCTAAAATTACAAACCACCAATATACAAGAGCATCAGCAGATCGAATCCAATCATTTTTTTCTTTATTCATTTTCAATTCTAGTAACAAAACCGCAGAGTAGAAGTGTGATCGATATTGATTACAGCACTAACAAAATGTAAAAATTTCCAACTTGTGGCAAATTATATCTAAATTGTCATTAACTTTTGAATTTACAGTAAAGCCTAGATCACAGACTATGCATTTCCGAAGAGCAAGTGTTTTTCTTTTAATGGAATATAGATTTTGTTTGAAATTGAATTTTTATCGCAAATGTCTTGATTATGATTAAACTTATAATTGTTGATGTAAGTCACGTGTATAATAACTCTTATCATATAATTAAATTAAAATATTGGATTTGTTATTGGTAACAAATCCAAGATTTTAAAAATATCTCATTGGAATTTGGTTTACAGACTTATGGGGTATTTGTCTGAGTTTATGAAAATTAGCTTATAAGCAACAAGTGTTTATATGCTAATTTTAGCTTATAAACATTTGAAATTTTAAGCAATTACGTGTTTAGTTAAAGTACTTATAAATGACTGATAAGTAGTTGACGTGTTTGGTAAAATGTAGCTTATAAGTATATTTTATTATAAAATGACTAAAAAATGTACTACATTAAACAATGGTATACTATGAAATTTTAAAATTAAACAAGGATAATATGGTAATATACTTGATCAAACTAGCTTATAAGCAGAGTGCTTATAAACAAAAAAAAAAAAAAAACAAAAAATATACTTTTCCCCAACTTACTTTTTTTTTTTTGCTTATAAGCTCAAAAAAGTTATAAACAAACATGTCAACTTAATTTTAGAGCTTATAAATTAGTTTGATCAGTTTATAAGCTTAGACAAATACCCCCTTAATGATGAGAGAATGAATTCTCTCTCACTATTAAATCATTCCACCAAAGGCAAATATATCTTTTTATACGTAGAGCACCTTATGAAAAGTAAAATATATACCTATTTTACCCTGATCCGTTGATCCAACGAAACATTTATTATTATCAAATTACTCTTCTAATTTCAATTACGCTTAGTGGCTTGGTGTCATGATGTGAACTACATCTTCAATCTAGAATTTCAAATCTCACCAACAATGAACTGCCCCAATCTAGAAATTATAAATTCCAACGAATAAGCAGAGACAACACAATAGAAGCGAATTCCAACTTTTCCTAGAAAAAGTTGTTATCGAAACAGTAAAACGTGGATTCAGATGGACACAGATCGTTTAGTATGAAGTTCCACAGTTTGCCCACAAACCCTTTGTTTAAGTTAAAGCCAATGACGAAACTGCCCTACAAATTAAATATCATATTCCATGCACTTCAACTTGAGATAACCGCTAACATGTTTTAGTACACTTCTGGGGCTGGCTCAGCAACGGATTGCTTTCGAAGAAATTAGCGGGTCGTAGCTCGAACCCACCATGAATAGTTGGCATCACTGGGAAATCTTCTTGACATGGAACGTGATGGAACCCGACTGTATACCACATCACTATATCTCTGTTTTCAATCTCTCTGTTCCTGCACATACGTCAATAATGTATTCTAAACGTGTCAAATCTTAAATAAAAGAATTTAACATTTTATTATTTATAATAATGAGGATTTTTTTAGTAAACCCGTGAGTTTGAACTTTTTTTTTTTTATTGAGTATCTGTCGGTTTTGAAAATGGAAAATAATAGTAATACTGGGAATAGGGCATTAAATTTGTATACCGAATGACATGACAAAATCCTAACCGTCTATTAATTATAACTGAATATTAATCAACGGTCAAGATTGTGTCACGTCATTCGATGCACAAATTCAGTGTATTACTTCTGATGACTGTAACATTACTCTTTAAAAATACGTACTACCAAAATCCTGTGTGCTCGACTTTTTTTATAGTGAGCATTGCTGATTTCAAAAATATGATATATTAACCTCTAATGTATACCCTTTTTGTAACGAGCGTTCATTGATTTCGAAAATTTTATCAATTCAACCTTAAAATTTATCAATAATTTCATTAATTTAACCTTTAAAAAATATAGTAAACTCTTAATATTATTAAGAGATTTTATTGATTAAATTTGGATAAATAGTAAAAACATCATTTCCTTAATAATTTAAATAGAATAACTAATGCTCTATCAAAAATGGGGATTAGGGTTATATTTCCGAAATCAAGTGGTACCCAACAAATACCTACTATAAAAAGGTCAAACACACGAGATTTTACTATAAAAAAAAAACCTGGATAAAAAATTGCATCATTTATGATACTTGTGTGATACCTGCGGCTCCAGACGGCTAAGCCGTCATCTCCTCGACTCCCATCAGCATACAATCCGCCAGCCCATCTCTCCGACTTGTTATAGGCAGTTACCCAAACTTGATACTTGGTGTAAGCAGCTCTAATCTGTGGATAATCATCGTCAGACAAAAGGGAAGCAACTGGTTGTCCGGGAATCAGCCGATAACCCACATGATTCCCTAGTTTTGTCTTCTTATTAGGATTAACAATTAACAGCTCCGTTGGCTTTAAGCCTAGCCGAACCCTAGCCTCGGCTTCTCTTTTGACGGTTTCTCTAATGACCATCCAGTAACTTTTTCTTAGAGAGACGATACTGTTTGTTACTCGTGCCGTTTGTAGTTTGGATTTGATGAAAGAATTGCCGTTACCGTCAACATCGAGGTCGAGGTAGTAGGTCACGTAGTGGTCGTGGTTGACGGCAACGACGTCATCTGCCACTAAGGTGCCATAAACGTTTTCTGTTATTTGGTCGTTATTTGTATATGACGTGGCTTTCATTTCCAAGATGCCGGTTAAATGCACCTAGAAAGCCAAAAAAAAGTTAATTTAAATAAAAGCAACGCCACTTTTACAAAATCGTACAAATAAAGACAATTTTCATTTTGATTTTCATGATTTTTTTCTCTTTTTTTCATTTTTTTCTTGTTTTTTTTTTTTTTTTAGTAATGTCACTTTATAACCCTATAAATCTTTCTAAGGATAACATTTTTAGTTAAATAAAGTTGAAGTATGTCAGAAAGAAGATTGAAAAGTATCATTTATCTGAAGAACAGTATGCAAAGCAAAGAAACATAAAAAATCTTGAATCTTTACTTACCCCAACTTTGATGGTGCCACTATTTTTGAACTCCCAATCAAGAACATAGTCATAATTTCCAACAGTAGCCACCATCCTCACGACCAAATTTATTTCAGGTTCCCCACTTCTTATCTGTAAAACCAATCAATCAATTCATATCAGCATCACAACAAAATCTCAAAAATCAAATACATAAAACATGTGGAAGGCAGATGCTAAAATTAAAGCTACATACCACTTTTCCAGGAACATTAATTTCTGTATGTCTCCAAGCTACATTCCCATCATACCTCTCAAAAATGCAGATAACATTGGGAAATTGCTGTGCCTGCCCATCTGCCCCGGCTACATACCCATCCATATACTTGGCATTAGCAGGGCAGTCGATCATTGGCTGGAGGGTGTCGGCTGCTCGCCCGAACCCGAATTCACCTACATCCATGAACGTCTTAAAATACCATTCACTTGTAGGATCCATATATGGAACAAATGTCTCTGATACATGACCTCTGTAAAGTATGCGACGAAATTTGTTAAATTTGGCATCAAATATAGAAGCTGTTGATATTATAATTCCTGCCCGAGCATCAAAACTTACATGTAAAACCCAATTACCCCATTTCACTTTGTGGCCTTCAATGGTCAACCTGGTGTTGGTTAGATTACATATGATAGAATCAGGCTTCCCCTTTGGGGATCTAAAGTCAGTACCCTCAGCTTTAGGCAAAGGGACTCTAAGTCGTGTATCAATGTACACTGTAATTTTCATTTTATCAACATCAACCAGCATACTGATTCCCCCAATGGGCCTGGCAAAGACATTAACTGATCCCCCTCGGTAGAAGCATTGAACTCTAAGAGCTCTTTTTGTAACATGTTCCCCATACCAACCAACTGTAAATGGTATGCAAGAAACTTCAGACAAATTTAAGCCCCTTCGGATCATTTCGTTCTTGAATTTGGGATAACTCAAAGGCAATTTGCTAGCTTTGAAGAGCTCATTAAAGGTCAACGGAGGATAACCATGACCTGTGTAGATGTGGTGTGACTTGATTGAGTCAGTGCCCAAGTCTACAACGAGTTCATGCGTCTCGCCCCCACCTCGAACAACCACCTTGGATTGACGAGGAAGATTAGTTTTACCTTGTTTACTTGCAGATAACCACTTGAGAACAAATCTTTTGTCTGGTTCCTCGAGATCAACAGAATGGAAGGTTAGATCAGGAAGGCCACCAAGTTTAGATTTCTGAATTATGAGCTTTATTTGGTTGATTTCAGTGGAATTGAGAGGGTCTAAAGGATGATAAAGGCTAGATGTGAAGCAATATTGCAGGAAAAAAGCTAGAACCAGAAATGAAATACTCATTGATTCTTCTTTACCAACTCCACGTTAGTGGAGTCCTGATGCTGCTTTCAGACAACTAACTGTTTAACATTATATAGTACTTACAAGAGGCAACTAACAAAATTGCTTCATTAAAGAATAACATGTCCCACATGGTGTCTGGATTATATATATTACAAACTATAAAGGGCTCTCATTGCTTTATAGTCCTTTACTTGCAGTGAGAGCAAGAATAATGAACTTGCATTTGCTTTCAGCTGATAAATAAAGGACATAATTGTAGCATATGACATTGAGTCTCCTATTTGAAATTCAGCTACTCAGATTAAAGCAAATTTCCTCATGAGGATTGGTGCAAATTTATATTAAACAATCCCTACCGCATCAACAATTCAAAATAATGAAAAAGTCCAAAGAAAAGCAATTTCAACTTCCAAGTACAGACGAATCACAGCAATTCTGGCAATAAAGATATATAATTTCTCAGAATGTTAAGGGAAAGAGTAGAAAAAGGTCATTATTACTCATATTTCGTGTTCTTCAAGTACAATCCACTAAATCAGTTTTAAACCCTTTAGTAGTAATGTAGATCTTGACATAGTGAGATATGGTTTGACTTTGATCATAAAGAAACTAGCTAGTCACAACTTGAACACCACAGGAAATTACAGTTTTTTATCTCCAGAAGCACAACAATACAAGCAATTAAATGACTCATAAACATGACATGAATTATCTAATTAACCATATTTGCTCTCACAGTTCTTTCATGCTCACTTTAACTTATTCTTATAGTCCCCCAACTCTCAAGACCATGATCAAGTTCCAGCAGAACTATAAAACAAAGCAGACTTGCATACAATTAAAGCATACGGAAAGAAGCTATTTCATAATCCCGTTGGAATTGTCTAATATTGAGTTGGCACTCTTAGACTTAACGGATTTGCTTTGTCTTTGAGCAAATGTTTCTGCAACCACCAGAGGGAAAGCAATGGTAGCATCACAGTGTACCTGGTTGTATTAAATCAAAAGAAGGGCAAGTTTTTAGAATCTTGTATATTTATACTTTACTATTATATCATTAATACGCTTAAACAAATTGAAAATTGGGATATGAGTGTCACTAGTAACAGAAGTTGGACATACCTTAACAGTTTTAGCATTGGCTCGTATTTTCCCCCAAGATACAGCCTCATCAGGACGGGCTCCAGAGTCACTCCCATCAAACTCTTGTGCAGTATTAATGTAGACGGCAAAATCTGCACCATTGCGCATCATATTTGCGTTGCATATGTGATGCTTAGGCAGTCCTCCTCCTAGAATTACCATACCTGTTTTCCTCGGACTGGCATTGACAGCTTCATCATTCATGGCTCTGACATCTATTGATTCAGCTACCAATGTTAGTAACAATACATCAAATTTTAACTTCAATTAATCGAGCTGAAGCAAGAAGCGCCCACCTTGCGTTATGTCAACAACCAAACCTGGGGGGCTGCGAAAGGAGTGAAAGTATAACATATCCCCTATTGAGCCATCGGTAATGGCAGGACAGAACACTGGGATGTTATTCTGGAAATAATTCCACAAACAACAACAATTTAAAACACTATTCACATCTGTACAAGGATGTTACAGTCCCTTTGGATTTATTTGGAGAATGTATTAACAAAATGTAGTCATCGACTGTGTAAATTATTTATGCTGTTTTCAGGTTCTGTTTTCTACGTCATATATTATGCATTCTGAAGAGAAAATTCTGAACTGCTCAATGACTTGAAATTTCAGCCTAATTTTTTAGATTTTCTCAGTATAGAAACGCTACAAGCCACAACAGTACAACGGCATAACATTGGTTATGTTAATTATCATTAAAATTAATTGAGATGTTCAACAACACAATTAAAAAGAAAAACATGAATGATTGAATGCCACTGATTGTGATGAAAAGGAGGATTTTGAGCTGAAAATCAAAATTATGTCAAAGTTGAAGATCACTTGCCTTGTATGCCCAGTAAAGGTATGAACTCTCATCATTGATTTCTTTTCCTAAGCGAGCAATAATCTTAGATGACGTCCAAATTACTTTCTGAGAAACCATAAAGAAAAGTGTATTAATTTATGAGGTTTGACCTCTTAAGAAAAAATTTTATCGTGACTGTAACATTACTCTTTAAAAATACGTACTACCAAAATCCTGTGTGCTCGACTTTTTTTATAGTGAGCATTGCTGATTTCAAAAATATGATATATTAACCTCTAATGTATAGCCTTTTTGTAACGAGCACTCATTGATTTCGAAAATTTTATCAATTCAACCTTAAAATTTATCAATAATTTCATTAATTTAACCTTTAAAAAATATAGTAAACTCTTAATATTATTAAGAGATTTTATTGATTAAATTTGGATAAATAGTAAAAACATCATTTCCTTAATAATTTAAATAGAATAACTAATGCTCTATCAAAAATGGGGATTAGGGTTATATTTCCGAAATCAAGTGGTACCCAACAAATACCTACTATAAAAAGGTCAAACACACGAGATTTTACTATAAAAAAAAAACCTGGATAAAAAATTGCATCATTTATGATACTTGTGTGATACCTGCGGCTCCAGACGGCTAAGCCGTCATCTCCTCGACTCCCATCAGCATACAATCCGCCAGCCCATCTCTCCGACTTGTTATAGGCAGTTACCCAAACTTGATACTTGGTGTAAGCAGCTCTAATCTGTGGATAATCATCGTCAGACAAAAGGGAAGCAACTGGTTGTCCGGGAATCAGCCGATAACCCACATGATTCCCTAGTTTTGTCTTCTTATTAGGATTAACAATTAACAGCTCCGTTGGCTTTAAGCCTAGCCGAACCCTAGCCTCGGCTTCTCTTTTGACGGTTTCTCTAATGACCATCCAGTAACTTTTTCTTAGAGAGACGATACTGTTTGTTACTCGTGCCGTTTGTAGTTTGGATTTGATGAAAGAATTGCCGTTACCGTCAACATCGAGGTCGAGGTAGTAGGTCACGTAGTGGTCGTGGTTGACGGCAACGACGTCATCTGCCACTAAGGTGCCATAAACGTTTTCTGTTATTTGGTCGTTATTTGTATATGACGTGGCTTTCATTTCCAAGATGCCGGTTAAATGCACCTAGAAAGCCAAAAAAAAGTTAATTTAAATAAAAGCAACGCCACTTTTACAAAATCGTACAAATAAAGACAATTTTCATTTTGATTTTCATGATTTTTTTCTCTTTTTTTCATTTTTTTCTTGTTTTTTTTTTTTTTTTAGTAATGTCACTTTATAACCCTATAAATCTTTCTAAGGATAACATTTTTAGTTAAATAAAGTTGAAGTATGTCAGAAAGAAGATTGAAAAGTATCATTTATCTGAAGAACAGTATGCAAAGCAAAGAAACATAAAAAATCTTGAATCTTTACTTACCCCAACTTTGATGGTGCCACTATTTTTGAACTCCCAATCAAGAACATAGTCATAATTTCCAACAGTAGCCACCATCCTCACGACCAAATTTATTTCAGGTTCCCCACTTCTTATCTGTAAAACCAATCAATCAATTCATATCAGCATCACAACAAAATCTCAAAAATCAAATACATAAAACATGTGGAAGGCAGATGCTAAAATTAAAGCTACATACCACTTTTCCAGGAACATTAATTTCTGTATGTCTCCAAGCTACATTCCCATCATACCTCTCAAAAATGCAGATAACATTGGGAAATTGCTGTGCCTGCCCATCTGCCCCGGCTACATACCCATCCATATACTTGGCATTAGCAGGGCAGTCGATCATTGGCTGGAGGGTGTCGGCTGCTCGCCCGAACCCGAATTCACCTACATCCATGAACGTCTTAAAATACCATTCACTTGTAGGATCCATATATGGAACAAATGTCTCTGATACATGACCTCTGTAAAGTATGCGACGAAATTTGTTAAATTTGGCATCAAATATAGAAGCTGTTGATATTATAATTCCTGCCCGAGCATCAAAACTTACATGTAAAACCCAATTACCCCATTTCACTTTGTGGCCTTCAATGGTCAACCTGGTGTTGGTTAGATTACATATGATAGAATCAGGCTTCCCCTTTGGGGATCTAAAGTCAGTACCCTCAGCTTTAGGCAAAGGGACTCTAAGTCGTGTATCAATGTACACTGTAATTTTCATTTTATCAACATCAACCAGCATACTGATTCCCCCAATGGGCCTGGCAAAGACATTAACTGATCCCCCTCGGTAGAAGCATTGAACTCTAAGAGCTCTTTTTGTAACATGTTCCCCATACCAACCAACTGTAAATGGTATGCAAGAAACTTCAGACAAATTTAAGCCCCTTCGGATCATTTCGTTCTTGAATTTGGGATAACTCAAAGGCAATTTGCTAGCTTTGAAGAGCTCATTAAAGGTCAACGGAGGATAACCATGACCTGTGTAGATGTGGTGTGACTTGATTGAGTCAGTGCCCAAGTCTACAACGAGTTCATGCGTCTCGCCCCCACCTCGAACAACCACCTTGGATTGACGAGGAAGATTAGTTTTACCTTGTTTACTTGCAGATAACCACTTGAGAACAAATCTTTTGTCTGGTTCCTCGAGATCAACAGAATGGAAGGTTAGATCAGGAAGGCCACCAAGTTTAGATTTCTGAATTATGAGCTTTATTTGGTTGATTTCAGTGGAATTGAGAGGGTCTAAAGGATGATAAAGGCTAGATGTGAAGCAATATTGCAGGAAAAAAGCTAGAACCAGAAATGAAATACTCATTGATTCTTCTTTACCAACTCCACGTTAGTGGAGTCCTGATGCTGCTTTCAGACAACTAACTGTTTAACATTATATAGTACTTACAAGAGGCAACTAACAAAATTGCTTCATTAAAGAATAACATGTCCCACATGGTGTCTGGATTATATATATTACAAACTATAAAGGGCTCTCATTGCTTTATAGTCCTTTACTTGCAGTGAGAGCAAGAATAATGAACTTGCATTTGCTTTCAGCTGATAAATAAAGGACATAATTGTAGCATATGACATTGAGTCTCCTATTTGAAATTCAGCTACTCAGATTAAAGCAAATTTCCTCATGAGGATTGGTGCAAATTTATATTAAACAATCCCTACCGCATCAACAATTCAAAATAATGAAACAGTCCAAAGAAAAGCAATTTCAACTTCCAAGTACAGACGAATCACAGCAATTCTGGCAATAAAGATTTATAATTTCTCAGAANTTTTATTTCAAATTGAAGCGTGTAATCATCATTAAATCCATGGGTTGGTGTGATTGTCAGGATAGAATCCGGCTTTACGTCCCATTTTCCTTTTTCCAAGCTGACTTCGCACGACTTACTGCAGAGGAATGGACGCGTGTGAGCTCCATATTATTCCGCAGGTCTGACGTGTGCGTGTTGCCCTGACGGGAGCAGGTCACGCTTAGCGTGACTTTCCCACGTCAGCCCTTTATTTTCCCAGGTATAACACGTGTATTGTTGTGTTGTTGCTAGGTTGGGTCGGTAGGGTTGGCTGACGTTTCTTGTCGGGGAACTTTCAAGCACTTGGAACCGAGGGCAAGTGCTAGTGCAGTGGATCAGATTGGTTGTGGATTGTGATACTTCTCCTTGTGTTTTTCAGGTATCTGATGGCGAACCCGTGAGATGGCTGGTTACAGCAACCAACGTGTGGTTGTGTCTTCTTCTGACTCGACGGAGTTATCTGCATGGGGTCGTCTGAGTAGGGCCAGATCTAATCCTTTAACGAAAGATGTTTGCCTTATCGAAGACGTTCCCCCACTAGTGACAATAAGACAACGGGGGAACCCCAGCGCCCCCCCCCCCTATGGCTCTTCCCGCAAAGAAGGTAGGGCGGATTTGTCGAGAGTATGGTTTGACTTGCGTTTTGTGTGCAGCGGGTAATCTCCCTCCTTAACGTCCACCCGAGGGATGGGTCATTGTTTTAGAGACTCTTTTGAGGTATGGGGTATCAATTCCCCGGCATCATTTCATTGAGATGGTGATGGAGTAGTTTTAGATTGCTCCACTGCAGCTCACTGCCAGTTCATATTTGTATATGATCAACATGTATATTACTTTTCGGAAAGCTGGCTTTGGTGAGCTATATGTTGTATATATGTATAGTTTACAGAAAACTAAGGAGGGTTGGTCATATTACCTATGTAAGACCAAATGTATCGGTAGGGGGTTGACTGGGATACAAAATAAGATCCTAGAATGGGATTCTGACTATTTTCTTTGTGTAAGTTATTGTGGCCCATTATTGTTATTATTATTATTAACTTCCCCCATCAGTTACTTGTAACTTTCCATCAGTTATTAGTGGTAACTTCCCTCTATACAACTTCTTCTTTGATGGATAAGAAGAGAAAAAGATTACATAATTTTTTTATGTAAAACAAAAGGATTACACAGAGGGAAACTATGTCACTAGTCTATAAGAAAGTCTGTGATTCTCTATCGATGCATGGAATAAAGTCTTGGATAGACTAGAACTAACCCCAAGTGTCTCCTACGGTATTTGGAAATTGATTACTATGGCTGGAGGTGTGTTCTTGGGCTTCCGCTTTTGATTTATTAAATTGATGATTTATTGCTTACATTTGGTATTAGAACCATATCTCTGGTCTGGTATTTATTTCCTTTCAATTTAATTTATGAATATATGTATGCCATATTCTGTTGTGTTTGATTGAAATTGGGAATTATGGTTTTTTGCAAGTTATATATTAATTTGGGTTCTTTTTTTGGCAATTTTGGAATTATGTGTTAAAATCTTATGTGTAATTGCAAATCTGCTATTGATTTGTGGTTGATGTGCCATATTTGTATAATTCCAAATATGTCAATTATGATTATTCCCAATTTATATCTGGGAATTTTTTTGGGAAAATCTAATTAGAGAATTAAATTCCTTGTGAAATTATGAGAAAAATGGCTTTTGATTTGTCAAAAGGGGAGTTAAAATGACTGATTTATTGCATTTTGGAGATTTGGGTACCAAGTGGGTCATTTTTGGGTTAGGTATCCGGTTGCAGTCCTGACCAAAGGTTGAAGA